ATAAATACAAGACAACTAAATCAGAACAGTCACGCTTGAATTACACTAGATATCGGAACACCTTAACTACAACATTACGTGTTTCAAAGAAAAATTACTATTCCACTCAGTTTCAGGCAACCTTGATTGATATAAAAGGAACATGGAAGGTAATCAAAAATATTTGTAAAAGCAACAGTAAAACATCCAGCATAAGATCTCTGCAAATTGATGGAGAATTAGTAGATGATACAAAATCTATTGTTGAAAAGTTCAATAATTATTTTTGTAGTATCGGTCCGAATTTGTCGGAGGGTATTCCAAATTGTGATAAATCATTCCATGACTTCTTGAAAGAACCTAACCAGCAAAGTTTGTTTTTAATGCCAACAAAAAATGAAGTAGAAGTACTCAGTATAATACATTTTTTGAAGATTGGAAAAAGCCCAGGCTGTGATACTATCTCCAACAGTCTAGTTAAAAACTTAGCAGTAGAAATCGTACATCCATTAGTGCATATATTTAATCTGTCACTGACAAATGGCATTGTACCCAGGGAGATGAAAGTGGCAAAGGTTGTCCCAATTTTTAAGAAGGGTGACCCAAAACTATTGACGAACTACCGACCCATTTCCCTATTAACATCTTTCTCTAAAATTCTTGAAAAACTTATCTATGTGAGAACTGTAAAGTTTCTCAATTCAAGTAAAATATTTTCCAACTTTCAATTTGGCTTCCGTGAGAAACATACTACCACCCATGCTATACTGCACTTTATCAATAAAGTTTCTTATGCTATGGACAACCACATGCACACACTTGGAATATTCTTGGATTACTCTAAGGCATTTGATACAGTAGATCACAAAATATTGTTATGTAAATTATCCCATTACGGGGTCAGGGGTGCTGCCCTGGATTGGTTCAGGAGCTATTTAGCTGACAGACAGCAATTCGTATCCATAAATGGTTTTGATTCAGAGTTACAAAATGTCAGCTGTGGAGTCCCACAGGGATCACTTCTTGGTCCTCTTTTATTTATTCTTTATATAAATGATTTTCAATATTCTTCTGATGTATTATCCTTTATTTTGTTTGCAGATGATTCAAGCATATTTTTTCACACAAAGATGCACAAGTTCTTGTGCAAACAGTTAACTCAGAGTTGCGCAATATTACCTCATGGATTCATGCTAATAAACTGTCTCTTAATCTTACAAAAACCAATTATATGATATATAGCAATTCGCTCAAGATGTTGCCCGGTGACATTATGTTCAACGGTGTTCTGATAGACAGGGTAACATCAACTAAATTTGTAGGTCTTTATATCGACGAACAATTGAAGTGGAAAACTCATGTAAATAATCTATGCAAAATATTATCAAGGAATACTGGTGTAATTCGTAGGTTGAAGTCTACTCTTCCTAAAAGCATATTACTTATCTTGTATTCAACTTTAATTCTACCTTATATTAATTATGGTGTGCTTGCTTGGGGCAAATCTCTAATAACACAATTAGATAAAATATTCTTGGCTCAAAAGAGGGTAATAAGAACAATCTGTAATGCTGACTTTCGTGCTCATACAAATCCTCTTTTTTATCATCATAGGATTTTAAAGGTAGAAGATATTTATTATATGCAATTGGGTTCCTTAATGTATGATCTCAACTCAGGTGTACTGCCACTGGCATAGGCCAAGATTTTCAAGAGAAACAATCAAATTCAATTATTATGCCACAAGATGTGCTTCTGCATTCCACTTACCCCATGCAAGGACAAAGTTTACTCTCAACACTTTAGTTTGCACTGGACCAAGGTTTTGGAACACTCTTGACTCAAGCATTAGCCATTCTGTCAGTATATCTGTCTTCAAACGTAAACTGAAATTGTACTTATTGAATAATTCGTCGCTGTTTTCACGAAGTGACGGTAGTGAAAAAAATGGCATTCACTTTGCGTTACGATTTTCCTCACTACCGTCACTTCGTGAAAACAAGGACGAATTACTTAGTTGTTTCTTAATCTGTAGTGTCGTGATTCCCAAGACGAAAATCCAATTGAATCCCCATTGAATGTCCCCATTGAATCCAATTTGGAGTAAATGGAAAGTGAAACAATGGGTACCCATTGAAACCAATGGGGACCAATTGCCAATTGGTTCCAATGGGGACCAATTGCCAATTGGTTTCAATGGGTACCCATTGTTTCACTTTCCATTTACTCCAAATTGGGGACCAATTGCCAATTGGTTCCAATGGGGACCAATCGCCAATTGGTTTCAATGGGTACCCATTGTTTCACTTTCCATTTACTCCAAATTGCCAATTGGTCAATTGGTAAATCGATCCAGTTAGAAGAACCAGTGATAAATTTTGATACTTCATAATCGATATTGGCAACTGTCCACCAATTAGGTATATTCCAATCTCATTTGCATTAACTTCATCACAAAGATCATTTGAAGTGAATTCAAGAGTTTCATTTACAGTGACATTGGCTCGTACAAATATATATACTAAATATGTATATTGTTTTTTGGTTAGTAATCATATAATCAATATATAAATCATTATTACCCGTATCAGACATCTGAGCTGGTCATTTACAAAACCGTATTGCCCTAGTTTTCACTAGCAGAGGGAACGGAGGGGTATATTCTTTGTATTTTCCTTGGTCTCCCTGCGCGTATTGACTTTGCGTGTAGAGACGAGTGAAAATATACCTTGGTATTTTCCACGGTCTCGCATTTTCATTGCGCATCTATTATGCGTACGAGAACCTGCGCACTTTGCGCGCACTCTATTGTGACGTAATAATCACAACAAATACACACTTTTTGTAGTGTATCGAAAATTTTGTCAAGCACTGGATGCACAGTGTTGGTTTGACAAAGTTTGTTCAGTTCTTGAGATTGTCATGGTGTATGTCTGTATTTGCTCTAGATGTCTGATTTGGATAACAATAAAAATATTGACTGGCTTTACTTTCGGGGGATATCAGAAATATTGACCGCGCTAAGACCATATTGCCCTCGTCTTTCGACTCGGGGCAATATGATCTGAGCTTGGTCAATATTTCTGATATACCCCTCAAGGCCAGTCAATATTATATAATTATTACCCGTATCAGACATCTGAGCTGGTCATTTACAAAACCGTATTGCCCTAGTTTTCACTAGCAGTGGGAACGGAGGGGTATATTCTTTGTATTTTCCTTGGTCTCCCTGCGCGTATTGACTTTGCGTGTAGAGACGAGTGAAAATATACCTTGGTATTTTCCACGGTCTCGCATTTTCATTGCGCATCTATTAATATTATGCGTACGAGAACCTGCGCACTTTGCGCGCACTCTATTGTGACGTAATAATCACACCAAATACACACTGTTTGTAGTGTATCGAAAATTTTGTCAAGCACTGGATGCACAGTGTTGGTTTGACAAAGTTTGTTCAGTTCTTGAGATTGTCATGGTGGATGTCTCTATTTGCTCTAGATGTCTGATTTGGATAACAATAAAAATATTGACTGGCTTTACTTTCGGGGGATATCAGAAATATTGACCGCGCTAAGACCATATTGCCCTCGTCTTTCGACTCGGGGCAATATGATCTGAGCTTGGTCAATATTTCTGATATACCCCTCAAGGCCAGTCAATATTATATAAATATATCTATTGCTAAAACGTGAATGTAATTGTAACATGATCAGACAAAATAATCTATTGGTTAATAATTGCTGAAGGAATAAAGAAATCACAAAATTGATGTGCATTGTCATAATTTGCTTAACAAATCATGATAAATTTATTTTTCTGTGACACGTGTAAAGTAATAATGAATATTCATGAGATGCCTAGATTTGTTGGTTTCAATTGGCCAATTGGTTTCAATGGGACCAATTGAAGTCCAAATTAAGGCCAATTGGTCCAATTGAAACCAATTGGGGACCCATTAAAGTCTAATGGGGCCTAGGCCAATGGGTCCAATTTGTCCAATGGGGCCAATCCGGACCAATTGAAACCAATTGGGGACCCATTAAAGTCTAATGGGGCCTAGGCCAATGGGGCCAATGGGGCCAATTTGTCCAATGGGGCCAATCTGGACCAATTGAAAACATCTGAGGACCCATTGAAACCTGTTAAAACCTATTGAGACCTATTGAGACCAATTGAAACCAATTGAAACCAATTGAAACCAATTGAAATTTCAATTGGTGTTCAATTGGTTTCAATTGGATTTTCGTCTTGGGAATTTATATTTGAACTTAATCCATTGCCCAATTTATATAGCAACTGCTGACTTACCTTTTCCTTTTTCTTTCCTTTCTCGCCTGTAGCTAGCTTTCAGTTTACAGTGAAAGTATTTTTTTTCTTTCTCCCCCCACTCGAGCTCTCCCTCTCTTTCCCACTCCCGCCCCTCTCTTCATTTCTATATCCCACATCATTATCACTCTTATCTCCCCCTTTTGTACATAGTCTCTTCTCCCCACCCTTTTTTTATTACTCAGTTAAACCATGTGTATAATCATATGGTTATTGTTTATAGTTATTTGTTTTAGTACTTTAGCGCCTTTGACGAACATTTCTTGTATTAATCTATTATATAACCAGGCTGTTCTTGTTGTTTATATTATTGTTTTGGGGGACCTGACCTCTACAAGCTAAGCTTTAATTAGGTCTCCTCGTCTTTTCTTCTTTTGTTTTCTCATGTAAATGCATTGTGTGAACTTGATTCTTATAAGTGTTCCTCTTATATACTTTGCATGTTATATATTTGTTAAATTGTATTACATTTATGTTCGAAGAAAGACAAATATGAACTTGAACTTGAACTAGGACCAGAAACTACGCCCTCTCACAACGCCAAAAAATACAACAACAATGAACTATAGCAGCTACAAATCACGTGATGTAAAGGCCCGCGAATAATTAAGCGAACGAAAAGCTTTCCGCTGTCTAGATCATTTGTTTGGGTTAAACGGTTAAGCCGGTACCGGTATAGAATAGGCGGCTACTATACAGTCTACTGTATTACTGGCCGGCGCTATGCTTACACACGACAATGAATGGGGAATCATTTTTGTTACGTTCTAGATACGAGATTTTGACATCACCTCTTTTCCACAAATCATCTAGAGCAGGTAGGCCTAACTCATTAACTCGTTAGATCTAGATCTAGACCGTAATTTCTTTTCCTTTTGTTTTGTACGTGATTAGCAAATCATTAAGTTAGTTTTTCTTTCGCCATCACAAGCGCACAGTCGCACTTAGACCGAATTTTCCGTCTCTTTCGTTCGTTAGCCTCTTATAGGGGTAGGGTCGGCTCTCTCTTTAGAGACGGAAGCCGTTTATACACATGTCCTTGCTAACGCCACGGCCAGTTCTGGTCGTAGCGTTTTGCCCCCAAAATCCCCCAAAATGTCATTTTACCTCGAGCATGTTATATTGTAAATTAGGCCTAGGCTATAATAAATCAGTTCCACTTACCAACTTGACTGAAATAATCAGTTTAATAGTCCCTTTTTAGGAAATTATGGGTCAAAATCGAAATCCATTTTGAAAATCTTTTTCAACATGGATTTCGATTTTGACCCATAATTTCCTAAAAAGGGACTATTAAACTGATTATTTCAGTCAAGTTGGTAAGTGGAACTGATTTATTATAGCCTAGGCCTAATTTACAATATAACATGCTCGAGGTAAAATGACATTTTGGGGGATTTTGGGGGCAAAACGCTACGACCAGAACTGGCCGTGGCGTTAGCAAGGACATGTGTATAAACGGCTTCCGTCTCTAAAGAGAGAGCCGACCCTACCCCAATAAGAGGCTAACGAACGAAAGAGACGGAAAATTCGGTCTAAGTCGCACTCAGTCACAGACTGACACTGACAATTGATTGACAGTGCAGAGAGGCGAAAATCTGCCGTATGGCAAGCCGTTTTATCATTTAAACATATTTCTTGATATTAAGAAATCATTTCTTGATATCACGAAATCGAATTCTTGATATCACGAATTCAATTCTTGATATCAAGAATTACCATTGCTTTACAACGTAAAATCATTTCTTGATATCAAGAATTCAATTCTTGATAGAGCTAACTTGTTAGGCGGCCTATTCTTGCATTAGTTGAATTCTCGCGACACATTGACTTTCGACAACCCACACTGCACCGGCTTGCACAGACTGGCAGCATGTATTCTTGCATTAGTTGAATTCTCGCGACACATTGACTTTCGACAACCCACACTGCACCGGCTTGCACAGACTGGCAGCATGTATTCTTGCATTAGTTGAATTCTCGCGACACATTGACTTTCGCCAACCCACACAGGACCGGTCAGGCAGGATATAGGAATAAATGTTAAAACGGCGCGCTCAGTATGAATTCGTGCAATACCTTTGCGTTCGTAATCATTCACTAGACTATAACAATTCGTGATATCAAGAATTTAATTCTTCATATCACGAATTCGATTTCTTGATAGACTCTAGGCCTAGATCTATCACGAATTCGATTTCTTGATATCAAGAAATGAATTCTTGATAGGGGGCCTATCAAGAATTGAGTTCTTGATATCAAGAAATGAATTCTTGATATCAAGAAATTGAATTCTTGATAGACAAGAATTGAATTCTTGATATCAAGAAATGATTTTACGTTGTAAAGGCAAAGCAATGGTAATTCTTGATATCAAGAATTGAATTCTTGATATCAAGAATTCGATTTCTTGATATCAAGAATTCATTTCTTGATTATCAAGAAATATGTTTAAATGATAAAACGGCTTGCCATACTGCCGTGTCCTGACTGCGACTAGCGACTGGCGCCGTTGCCCCGTAGATCTTAGACCGAATTTTCCGTCTCTTCCGTTCGTTAGCCTCTTATTGGGGTAGGGTCGGCTCTCTCTTGAGAGACGGAAACCGTTTACCTATACACATTTCCTTGATAACGCCACGGCCATTTCAGGCCATATTGTTATGCCCCGAAAATCCCCCCAAATGTCATTTTACCTCGTGCATATCCAATTGTAAATTAGGCCTAGATTAATGTAGATATCTAGATCTAGAGTCTAGGCTATAATACATCGGTTCCATGCATGGAATTCCACTTACTAACTTGACTGAAATAATCCGTTTAATGGTCCCTTTTAAAGGTACTAGGGTCTAACTGTTAGACATAGATCTAGATCTAGATCTAGACTATGTCTCTTTTGCAGCCAACCCCAAATTCTGTAGAACTTTGCAGGAATTATGAATAGTCTATGTCATGTAGAAAGACTAGATATGTCCTATCTGTGAAATTTAAACGTTAGCAGTGTCCTCATATTCAAATTATGCAAGGAAACCCGTTTACTTGCTAGACTTCACTGTCAGACACTATTGAGTGACTGACTGGCTTTTTTTCTTCTTTGGTAATAACATAGGCTAGCCTACATGAAAAGAGTTGTAAAGGGTACATGAGCATTTGTCTACATCAATAACCCACTTCTTGTGATGGCCAAGATTAAACTGATTGAATCTTTGCGCAGCATAAAACGTATGACCATTCGGTACAATTGTCTGAAAATCAAGACTATTAGTTTTGGGCTCTATAGCCCTAAAGTCGATTTGACAACTACATGTAATAGTCATTATTTTCCCACTTGAAGACATTTTCAAGCCCCACCTTTTTTAGGGAAGTTCTAAATAAGTATTATCTTTCAAATGCAGTTGGAATTTAACTTTTTCATTTTTTGGGCCTGCAAATGGGACATAGACCTAGTGTCTTTAAGGAAATTATGGGTCAAAATCAACATCCATGTTGAAAATCTTGCAAGCCGTGTTAAACTCTCGCTGCGCATGGAGTCATCTAGATCTAATTCAATCTCATCCCTTCTAACTTAGTTCTAACAGTTAGTCTAGATCTAATGTTAGTCTACGCCGAAGGCAAAATGATTATGAAGGAAAAACTGTGATAACGCCATTACGAACGTGTAGATGGCGCACAGTTTTTCTAACTTTTTAATTACAAATTTGTTTATAATAAAACAATCATTAAAAGAAAGGATTTTCTTTCACTAAGTCAAGACAACTCGCCCATCTGCCGACTCCAGAATTTCCATAAAATAGGAGATATCCAGCTCTTTTCTATGCATTTCCTTCTACACCTGGCCGTATGTAAGAGCCTTGAAACAATCAATTTCATATTCATGGTCCCAAAAGTTACGTTGAGAATTAGACAGGCCCGAGGGAATAGGCGTGTCATTGACCAAACAACAAGTTCAAAACTTCGCGCGAAAGTACATTCATCTTTCGGCTAGCCTTGAATCGGTCGCACACACCGAACCTCTTCAACCACGTCCACGATAAACTCTACACGTTATTCGCTATTAACGAAAATCAAACCATCAATGTACGTACGACTACTACATCTACGAGTAAAAAAAGAAGGAAAGAACTAGATCTAGATCTAATTCATTAATATTTACCTTAGATTGGTATTCCATTAACTTAATTTCCTCATGAGTAGTCATTATGATTTCAGTCGGAGATCTACTGTACAATCAACAAGAAGGACCTCCATAATTATCCATGCAACTCACACTCACAGCGCTACACATGATACTACTACATATAGACTAGACCTACAGTACATGCATATCGCACGATCACAAGTACATGTACCTGGATTTTTCTTTCTCTCTCTCTCTCTCTAAGCTGTACGCGACAACTAGTAACCATGTATGACTCACAATCACATCATCCAATCATATCTTTCCGTCCTAACTTCTCAATTGGAGTATAAACTGCTCACGTAGACATTTTTTTACTGAAATATCTTTTTTAAACATTTTTTATATATGACTTACTGTACGAGCTAGAAACTCGAGTCTCGTGCTGTGAGAATAAGGTACTGTGTGTGAGACTAGCCAAATTTGTTCGGTGGGCGTTCTGACCGGAGCTCATACATTATTCATAGACTAATATAATGATGTCGCAATACCTCTATTTGGGGCTGGAACAATGAAATATCTGTTCACAGTTTTCCTTCTCAATTTGAGATGGCTTTAGCTATGGGGCTCAAACCAACGCAAGATTGACAAAAACATCGTACTCTATCTAGATCTACCTTTGAATGTGCAGTTTGTAAAAATCTGCAATTAAAAAGATATGATCTTTTTTCTTTATACTTTCTAGTTGTTAAAAGTGACATTCGTGCACTATCAAAGGTTCTTTGATATTAAATTAATTCCACATTTTTAGGCTCTACCTTCAGTCATTGAGAAGGATTTTAGTGAGCTAACCTCTGCGCCCTCTAGGACCCATCTAGTTTCTCTTGTGCGTCCGTTATTTTCGTCTGCTAGCCCAATTATTGGATTAAAATACGTCAAAATATGCAAGATCGTCAACAAATGGTGAAAGACCGTTACAGATCTGTGTTTATAGGTATGTTGTGGAGTGTACAATTGTATTTTTGTTATATATTTTATTCCATAGAGGGGTCTAGATATTTTTTTTCTTTATTTTTTGTTCTGACTTGGACGACGAGCGCACAAATCGTAGGCGTAGAAGCCTTACGCCAGGGCATTTGCCTCCCTACTACAAGATCAACGACATCTCGCCACTGTCACGCAACTTGTCAGCTAAGCAGTTAGTGTTTCACGAAGCCGTCTTTGCCAAGATGAGCGACAACTTCCGCGACAAGCGAGTTGTCACTGCTCCGAACATGTCATATCTTTTTAATTGCTGTAAAGCGCCATCACAAGTCAGTTTGTTGCTATTCCATGGGCCGCGAAATGTACGATTAGTTTCACTATCATTTTGAGAAAAATATAGACGAGTTCGGTACGTAATTCTCTGGGATGCGAAATGCAAATGTAAAGAAGTGATAGGCCTAATACAAATTAGAATCTATACAGAAATTTAAAAAAGCTGAATATAAAAATTAAATCACAAATCATTAAACTATAACATATAAATAAAAGAGATAGATCTAAGAATGTTACACATCGTGGTCCATAGTCGATCCATAGTCTTTTCTTAGGATACCACATACCTTTGGGGGCCTAGACTATGTGCATTATTATTCCCTCTCTAATTACTTCTTCCAAATTATATTTTTGATATAAAATCAATTATATAACGAGTATTTATGA